CGGCCTCCTCCGCCGAGGCCTGGGCCGGCCCGCCGCCGCCGCCGCTCGGCCGATGCGCCCGGGTCGGCCGCCATGGACAAGATCCTGGAGGGGCTGGTGAGCTCGTCTCACCCGCTGCCGCTGAAGCGGGTGATCGTGCGGCGGGTGGTGGAGTCGGCGGAGACGCCGCTGAGCCAGGCGCAGTGCCGCGCCATGTTCGCCCTCAGCACTCGGCTGGTGCTGCAGGGCCCCGACCCCTTCCAGCGGCAGGTGGGGCGGCAGGTGCTGGAGGCCTACGGCCGCTACCACCGGGCCGAGTTCGAAGCCTTCTTCAACCGCGGGCTCGTCCTGGGCCTCCTGCAGCGCGGCTACGGCGAGCTGAGTAACCGCGACCCGGCCATCCTCGACTACATCCAGGCGGGGCTGCGCCTCATCATGAGCTGCCCTTCGGTGCTGGAGCTCTTCGAGCTGCTGCAGGTGGAGGCCCTGAGGCTGGTGTGCGAGCGGCCGGCCCCGCCGCTCTGCGCCCGCCTCTGCCAGCTCCTGGGAGACTTCCCCCAGTGCCTGCCCCGCGGCAGAAAGCTCTCCCTCGCCTTCTGCCAGCAGCTGGTCCGCAGCATCGCCCACTTCCAGAGCCAGGGTAGCCGGGAGGCCGAGCTGCGCCTCTACGTCTCGCAGGTGACTCAGGTCAGCGGGCTGCTGCGGAGCGTCTGGAAGGCCGAGCCCGACACCCTGCTGCCCTCCTTGCAGGAGCTTTTCGCCATCATCTCTGCCGTCGGTGAGCGCCGGGGGCCGGTGGGAAACGGGAGGGGTGTGGAGTTAACGGGGGCGAGGGAGGAGAGCGGTAGGTCAGCCAGCAGAAAGGAAAAGCCCTACCGCTAGCCAGCACCAGTCGCTTTGCAGGTGTTGTTTTGGAACCATTGCTTCCTCACCCGGATACTAAAATGCAACTTTTTGGCTGTTGAGGAAGCAAAGCCTTCACGATTATTTATTTAATTTTTTCCATTGAATGGTTGGGGTTGGAAGGGACTTTTTCCACAAAGATAAGCTACAGGGGAAATAGTGATTTACTTAACCACAGAGCAGTATGTTTTTTAGAAAAACTCATGTTGCGATGCTTTAAATGATATACCAGAACAGAGTTTTGGGTGTCCCGGTAGGAAAAATTAAAACTCTCATTATCAATACCTCCTCTTCCTCCTTGCTCCCTCCAGAAGGATACCTTAGGTCTTGGAAGTGTTTAGTCTACAGAGCTTGGGTGTATGTAAGGATTATATCAAACTTGGTTATCATGAGAAGGATTTACTGCCTGAGTCATCTAGATGCCGTTGCAAACAGGTCCTTTCTGACCTCAGAAATCTATGAAGTACTGTATTAGTTCACACTGGAAAGTGACTTTGCTGTTGAGGCACCTGGGAAGCTTAACATTCTATCTTGCCGTAACTGGTGTGGTTAGCAGGCAGTTGTTGAGAGAGAACATGGGAAATATCAGCTGCATTGAATCCTTAGGCTTAACATCAAGTATTATAAACAATTGCATGGTACTTCTTTTTAGAAAAAAAACCAACCGCTTCTCAGCTCCATTGAGGGTGGAGGAGGAAGTTAGGGGATTGTCACTTCTCTTGCATGGGTATTAAATGAATAAAAGGAGAATATAATTTGGCACTATTCATTGTACTTAATCCATTGAAACTTTTTAATTTTGTTTTGTGATGCTAGAATGTTAGATGTAGGGTAGACTAGTTGCAGAACTTTACAGCCAGAATGAAACTGTAAGATAGAAAATAAAGCTAATTTTTGCTGTGGGGTTTTCTTTCTAGTTTCTTACATTATGTCATGTTCAACTATTACAGATAATTCATTTGAACCTTCTGTTGCACTGGCAAGTCTTGTGCAGCACATACCATTACAGATGATTACAGTACTCATCAGGAGCCTTACTACAGATCCAAATGTGAAAGATGCAAGTATGACTCAAGCTCTGTGCAGGTACTATATTTCATTGTAAAAAGGGGAAAAAATCTTATTGCCTTGAAGTTGTCGCTTAGGTTCCATTAGAAACAAACAAAACCACCTCCTTTTAAAATGATATTCTAAATTAGGCTGTTTGGCATGTTAAGGTAATACGTATTTATGGTGCTGTGAATGTTTCTGGTATGGTTTCAGTTTAAGGTTGCTGCCTTCATTGCTTATGTGGCTTCTTTCTCATGATTTGCTGGGGTGGATGAAGAGGAGGGTTAAATAGAAACTAAGAGAAAGCCAGCTGTGTTCCTTTTAGAGGACATTTTCTGTTTAGATCTCCTACTTCATGGGAGATGGCATAAATAGGAAACTTCACGGGGTTACAGTCAAGCTGAGAAACAAGGCCTTGTTTTCAGAAGATGAACCTTTCCGCTTTTCCAGGAAGCGGAGTGGCTCTCTCACATGATTATCTTACCCATCATGTTCTCTGAAGAGAGGAGATGATTGGAAATGAGCTTTAGTGCTTAGTTTTGAGATCATTTTTTTTCTCCTTAGTTGTCTTCATGACTCTTTAGTAGGATTCACAGGGCACAGCCTCTATTTCCATCTTCATTCAAGTCTCCAGAGGTTTTTTGGGTGTTTTTTTAATAACGGAAGAATAGGAATGATGTAAAAACAATTGCATATTATGCTTCTTGTCACTAATTGAAACAGAGTTAACATGAGATTAGTAGCACTGTTAACAGACTGATTGCAATCTTGGTTAGTATCTTCAGATATGTAAATAATAGGGATGCAGAAAGATGATCGTGGGAGAAAGATGAAGACCTTCATGAAGTTTTTTGAATTATTTTTTTAAGCCTATGGAGGAATCTGTTATTGAGCACTGAAGGGTAGAAAAATGAGCAAAACAGTTAAACAGGAGATGAGAATGTTAGAGATTTGTATTGTTTAAAAAAATTTTTTTAGAAGTTTTTCAACTAAAACAACTTAATGTGTGCTATATTATTTTTTAACTATAACCATTTGAGTGGAGTGTGATACTTACACATTTGTGTAGTGTAGCACCTGCACATCTTGGTGAATTACTGAGGTTTTTTCACACTGCAAACATTCCTTGTATTTACATTAAATTGAGAAACTGTGTTTAATTTGAAAACATAATTAATGACAAGAAGCAGCATTAATATATTAATTTGAGGTAAGACATTGTTTAGGGACTTGAAAAGAATCTGCTTGACTGAACAGATTTTTAGCAAAGCTGTGTGCCCAGTCTTCAATTCAAAGCTGGGAAATTCAGAAGGATTTGTGTATGTGAATAATTGGCAGTAATGTGCTGGTGATTAATTTTCATGTTAGTGTAGTTTTACTATTTATGTTGTATTACCTGCTTCAACACAATGCGATTGTGTAATTGTAGCTTTAGAATGGCTTTTCTGTGTGCCTCTGCTTAGAGAAGTAATGCAGTGCTGAGCTTTGGGTATAATAGGAGCTGTTATTATCAAATAAGTGCTCTTTCTTAATACTAGCCATGTGGTGGGTTGGTGTTTTTTTTCCTCTTATTTTCAAAAGGGCAGTGCAATCTTACTTGCTCTGTTCATTCTTTGAAGCAATACTTGATTTTAAGAGGGTCTAGTTCTGTTCCATGGAAGTAACTTTTTTAGGTACCCCTTGTTTTTGTTTGCAGATACTATTATGTCACATTGTATCTAGTTTCTTTTTGTTCCTCTGGCAACCCTTTGCAGTAATTACTCTCTTCTGGTTTAGAGGAGTAATTGCAAAGAGGATAATGCAGCAGGAATGTCTGGAGCACCAAATGACAATGTTGTCATCAGGCTTGCATCATTCCGAGGAGATGCAGAACTCCAGGCACAACAAGGTCTCCTGATGAGAGTCAGCAGAGCTTTGGTGATTTCAAATTAGAGACCTTGTTGTTCACTTCCTAAGGGTAACTTCCATGATGTTGCAGAGTCTGTCTAAAGTTCAGCACAGATTAGTAAATAATCTGTAATTAGAAGACTAATAAGTTTCATCTGTTCAATGGGGCTTATATTAGGCACAGGTTTGTGCAAGAAAGGGTGCTTGCTTTTTGGCATCACTGAGCTGTTCTGTATTGGCTCAGCTGTCTCATGAAACATTACCTGAAGTATCAGTGAGGAAAAGCAGCAAATTGTTGAGTCTCTTCTGGGATATATGACTACTTCAGGGGTCTGCATCAGAGGTCTCAAGAGGAAGCCGACTGCCTATACTCAGTATGTTGACAAGTATAATGCTTGTTTCACTTTAACTGAAGTATTTTTGTTCAGAGATACTGAGAATTTTGCTAAGAAAAAATCCAGGCATGACCAGGCCCTGTGCCCTGTTGGTGAAGATGTAAAATATTGTAGAAGATTTTTTTTTTTTGAGGGTGCCTGGTAGTTTGAGGATCTTCAGTTTTGTTGTGTTGTTTTTCTCTAATCTGAGGGATTTCCACCTGAGCTGCCAAATTCTTTGTCTGATGTGGCTAAGAAGATATTTTTGTGGAAGAAGTTACTGTCTCAGGTTGCATTGCACAGATAATTTTTTTTCTATCCAGCGATACCAGAAATGTAGTTCTTGTTAGGCACATACACAGATAGCAGAGCTGCTCATTTTAGGGTGATATGAGGCAGAAGGTCCTCTTGAGGCATTGGGTGTTCTCTTAATTGGGTCAAACACAAACATCTTCTGTAGTTTTATTCATGATCATCACATCACATACTAGTATCTGCCTTTGTATTAAAAATGCAGTTATTGATTGCAACAGGGCAGAGGCCGAGTAAATTCAATGCAGAGAGGGTTTAGTAACCAAAATGTCTAATCTTCACCTACCAGCTCTCAGATTTGATGCTTTTTTGGACAGTGTCAGGCAAGTCTGCAAGCTTATTTCTGTTTCCTCTTCTGGCTTTTATTTCTTCTCTTAAGGCATGGACTCTGCTTTTAAGAACAGAAACAGATTTTAATGATGATAATTCTATCTATCATTTGCACAGAGAATGGGCCTTCTCTTTACAAGGTTAATCATACTGAAATGATGGCCATTGGCCTATTAGTAACCATCTTGAGTAGTTTAGTAGTTAATTATACTGACTGGAGATGACACAGGATGGCCTATCGTGTAACCAGAGCAATGGGATGAAACGTGGAAAGTCCCAGCTCCCATCCAGAAGCGCTGTTTTTCATTTGGAGTTTGTGAGTCAGTGTGGTTTGAAGTGCATGTAGTATAAAGATGGTAATCAGATACCTTAGAACAGTGGTTCTAATGTAGGGCTCCACAGAATACTCTTTACTAAGAAGTTAATTAAGAAAACTGAATATACTGTCATTAGGCTTAAATTAACTGTGCAGGTGTTTGTGCCACTGTTGAAAAACATCAAGCTTACAAACTGGGAGGGGGGAGAGAGGTTTAAAGATGATTGGGTTAAAGATGAAGGGGTTTAAAGATGATGAGGTTTGGGGCCTATTTTTAGGTTAATTCTTTGTGGGCAAATGCAATTTGGGCCTACTTTTTTCATTTCCCCCCTTTTAGAAAGTATATGGAAAAGGTGTTCAGAATAAACACATTTGAATTTGACATCTTGAGAAAGTGAGAGCTTTGTGTAAATTCAGTACAATAATTATGATGTGGTTGTGTTTTTCTTAAGTTGTTTTTTTTTGTAGTAATATGGAAGAAACTAAGAAAGATCTGTGCCTGATTGTTCAAAAGGGCTAATGATCCTTTATTTTAGAGAAAACTTTGTATGTTTTATATGTAGATAGTACATAATTCTAAGATATACACATTTTCGAATAGGTTCTAAACATTTTTCTGATCCAATTTATAAAATCTATGTAAATTTTAGGGTGTTTATGGTAATACAATATGCCCTGAATGCACGTCTGGTGTTGCTAAAGACTGTGGTTTTCATTGTAGTTTGAAATCTGAAGACTGAAAAACCCCAATTCCAGTCTCTTTGGAGCTCTTTTAATCTCCAGAAGAACATAGGGGCTGATACTTCTGCTTCAGATTGATAATCGCTAATTATGCCTATTTGTAGAGATAATGACTATTTATTAGGCTGGTTACTTGTATAACCTGTTCAGTTCTGCACTAGAATGTAGTCTCTCAAAATAATTAATCTCTATGAGGAGCTTTTCCAGAACAGAAATAGAGAAATACAACTTCCTCTTTCTATTGAATTACAGAATAGAATCATAGCATTATGATATGTAGATTGAGTGGAGCCTTTGGTAGTCATCTGGTCCAGTCTTGCTCGAAATAGGGCCAGCTTCAAAGTCAGACGTGGCTGCTCAGGGCCTTCTCCAATCGAGTTAAGAGCTTTCTGTGAAGATGGAGATGCCTCAGCCTTACTACATAACTTATTTCAATGTTTGACCAACCTCATGGTGAAAAATTTTTCCTTCCACTTAATTAGCAGTGTCTCATCTGGTTTGAAGAGCGGGATCTTGTAGTCGATTAAAGATAATCCAAAATATTGCTAAGTAAAATCTCAGAAGAAAAAAGCCTAAATTCCATGTTTTAGCTGTTATTTCCTTGTGATATCATCTGTGTTTTAGGATTGCTTCAGCTTATCTGCCTGTCTGCCTTGAGTATCAGTGTAAATTGTCTATTAGTTTAGAAGGATAGAATACCCCTGTCTTTTGTAGTAAAATCTCAGAAGAAAAAAGCCTAAATTTCATGTTGTAGCTGTTACTTCCTTGTGATATCATCTGTGTCTTAGGATTGCTTCAGCTAATCTGCCTGGCTGCCTGGAGTATCAGCGTAAATTGTCTATTAGTTTAGAAGGATAGAATACCCCTGTCTTTTGTTGCTGATATTTCACTGTATTTTCTATGCATAGATGAAGTCTCTTCACTTTGCCTTTTCCTTAGCTGTAGTGAAATTCTTCCTTTTGGGATGTTGCTGATATTTCACTGTATTTTCTATGCACAGGTGAATTCCCTTCACTTTGCCTTTTTTTAGCTGCAGTGAAGTTCTTCCTTTTGGGACGCTGCTGATAGTTATTATAAGATCCTTATAACATCTGCTGCAACGTATTTAAATTTACTATTATAAGATCCTTATAACATCTGCTGCAATGTATTAGATTTTAACTTTTTAACTGAAGGTATTTGAGCTGACTTCCAGGAATGCAATTCTGAGTTGAAGCAGCTTCTTTTTGAAATTTCATCTGAATAGTTGATTTTGTTCTGGTTTGAGGTAAAAGGTTTAGTTAGGGGGGGAAGTTCTCAGGTACAGGCACTTTTTTGCCACAAAATAAAAATGTTAGCTACTAGATTTTAACTTTTTAACTGAAGGTATTTGAGCTGACTTCCAGGAATGCAATTCTGAGTTGAAGCAGCTTTTGAAATTTCATCTTAATAGTTGATTTTGTTCTGGTTTGGAGTAAAAGTTTTAAGAGGGGAAGTTCCCAGGTATGGGCACTTTCTTGCCCTCAGTAGTATGTTTTTGCCACAAAATAAAAATGTTAGCATAATGTCTATAAAACCAGGGTTCATATCCTTAAGTAACATTAATATACATAGTATTTAATTTTGTATGCTGATGTATTTGGGGGGTTGCATTTACTTTTAATGTATAAAATAGATCATTATTAACTACAGAGTTAAATGACTTGAGGTATAATCAGAAATATTTTATTACTTGCCTAACGTTCTAGCATTACTTCTTGTGAGTTTCTGTGTAAGCTTGTAACTGTCTGGGTAACATATAGAATCTCTTTGTTGAAATCAAAACCCCCAATATGCCACTAATTTTATTCTTTTTTTCTCATTTTTCATTGATATTTCAGAATGATTGACTGGTTGTCCTGGCCTCTGGCGCAGCATGTGGAAACATGGGTGATTGCACTGCTGAAAGGACTGGCTGCAGTCCAGAAATTTACCATCCTCATCGATGTCACTCTGCTTAAAATTGAATTGGTATGTTGGAAAAGAATGTTTGAAATTGAAGGAGAGGGAAAGGAATTTGTAACAGCTATGCAATTGCGTAGCATCTTTTGTATTGCAACAGATACTATCTGATTATTTTGCAAAGATGGTGCAAATATATCTCTAGCTTTCAGTTGCATATAATGACTCTTTCAAATGGTTTTGGATTTGGAGATCTGTTTGCGTTTTTACTGAAATTTCACTTCAAGATTTACTGAAATAAGTGTGTGTTTTTTAGGTCTTTAATCGACTTTGGTTTCCTCTCGTGAGGCCTGGTGCCCTTGCAGTCCTTTCCCACATGTTACTTAGTTTTCAGCATTCTCCAGAAGCTTTTCATTTGGTAAGTGACTAAATGGTTTTCAATTCTTGGAAATGTCATTCATGTGTGATTTCTAAGGTGGGTGTAAAGAAAAACAGATGTGATGCTTTTGGATTTCCATTTTGTTTCAAAGTTCCAGAATCAGATTTCTGTGGTTCAGACCGCTAGGTTTTCCAGCTGGCAGGTTCAGCCACTTAATCTGTAACTGGAAATGGGCATTGATCTTCCTGGTATGTACACATTTCTGGCAGTAGTATCTGGGCGCTGCATTTTATCTTTGACCATACATTTCTGGAAATCCATTTTACGTGGTGTGAAGTCTACTGATAAAGTTGGGCTGCAAGTAGACTTTCAAGCACAACTATTTTGGGAAACTAGATAACTGTTATCTGTTATATATAATGTAATCACCTTAGATAGGTGCATGAGACCAAGAAATACTTCACTTTAAGAAAGCTATGCTATCTATATTTCAACGTACATACAGGGAAACTGAAGGATTCTATTTTTAACAGCCACTCTTCAAAATGCAGTTCCCCAGCTGAAGTGGTAGATACTAGGTTATGATGGTGACTCTTCGTATTAGTACAGCAAGATGTATAGTGCCTTCCGTGTTCTCATGCTCAGTGTTTAGCTTAAAATTTGAGTGAAATATGGGTCTTTCAGACTTAAACATGGCACACTGTTTCTGGAAGCTGTTGCCAAGTCTCTTAGGCCTGAAGGATCACAAACCCTTTGGTTGGTTAGAGTGATTGTCTTCTGCCTGCTACACTGTTGTTTAATGATAGAAGCCTAAAGTTTCTCTCTCTTCCCCCTGTGACCCTAATCTTGGCCTAGGATAGATATTTGAGACAAAACAAAAAGAGCTATGTAGCCTTCAATATGCTCAAAATGTAAATATTTCATATACTTACTGTATTGCTGTTCTTCTTTGTTCCTGAGAGACACAAAACATTCATGAGAAAAATGGAAAATATGAGAAGACTTAGTCTAGAAATAGGCATTTGCTTTAACAAGGAAAACTTCTACCGCAGGCTTCATGCACTACTGCATAAACATCTGTTTTGGGAACTTTCATTGTAATCATTTTCCCTCCATTTTAAATAAGCTTCACTATCACTTTTTGAGCTACCACAGTCATATAATATCCTGTAATATTTTCCTACATTTAAACTACTTGTTTACCTTTTTGTAATAAATGGGCTGAATGTAACATGGTTAAATGCACATTTGGTAAATGTAAGTGAATTTATTTTGCAGTGCGTCTGAGTTAACATTTCCCTTCCCTATGCTTGAGCATCATCAGCATAAATTACTTGGGGTTTTTAATACAAGAAAAACACTCTGTCTTATGATGTAGAACTTATCATGATGTGTACTATAGAATTCTAAAATCCACTGGCATATAAAATTTTAATTCAGCCTCAAGCCAGAAGTGATACGTCTGTATGTATTCAAGGTGTAACTTTCAGTATTATGCAGCATGCTGTAAGTAAGAATTTGGCTTTCAATTCAAGAGAGCCTAGAGCCTATACTTTTTCTGTTCTTGCCACGTACTTTGTCTGTGCAAAATTATCATATCTACTTAATACTAATCTCATTTTTGGAGCTGAATAGTTACTTCTCATTGCAATGTACCCTCATCTGTAAAGTGGGAGAGGGAAAATTTTCATTGCAACTTTCACTTTTGACTCTGTAGTACACTGAATGCTTAATCTTGTTGGTTTCATTTTTAAACAGTGGATATCTTGCTTACCAAAAAAAAACAATAGGGTTTCTTTATCTGAGATGTAAAAATATTCCTTATACTTGGAGACCAATTGATATTTGAAAAAGTGGCAAACAAGTATTTTGCACCTGACCCCTTTTACTTTGGTATTTTGAAGTATATTAATTCCTGTCATTGTTATACTTTCCGGAAATTATGATATTCTTATTATTCTGCTCTGTATTTCATGTCTTTACTATCAAACAATTGGTAAGCTAATTTGTAATAAATTATTCCATCCACTTCTTTTGACAGTTAATCCATTTTGATCACTTGGGAAGTGACAGTTGTGTCTAAAATACTTTGGTTCAAAGTCCTTACTGTTTGGGACTGCATTGAAATAACTTTCTACTTGATGTTTTAATACTAATATAGAAAAAGTCTCATGCATTTAAAAAAGCAGACAGAGCTGCACTGAACATGGGGAAGGAGATGGTGTAAACATTTCTGATTTTTACTCAATTTAAAATAGTTATGAATCTGAACTAATCCTCAAATAGATTGCCTTGTATATGGTAAGCTTTTTTTAGCTCATTTACTGTCTTGGTTTATAGAGCCTAGTGCTCTCACTAGGTGGAGCTGTGAGCCAGTTTCCCTCTTGTAAACTAAATAACATGAATGTATTCCTTGGCTTCAGATCCCAAGTGTTAGATTCTGTTTAAGGAAAATTGAGAGTTTTGTTCTAAACACTGTATCTGCGAAATTAGAACAGGATGCTGCACTGTTAGTGGTAGCACAGAAGGAAAATTTTTGCTGTTAATATCCTTAATAAGATGTATACGTGACCATTTAAAATCTTAAAATACATTTTCTAAGTTCATAAAGTTCCAAAACTGTGAGCTAAAAAACATTGAATAATTAATTGTGTTGTTGGAAAAATGTCAGGAGTAAAAATAACGCATGTTTTTCAAGTCATTGTTTCTCAACCACGTCTTAATTTGGAAGATTATGTCCCCTGTCATTTGGTGTGTGCAAAAGAGTGAAATGTGTATAACAAAAAATGTGGAAAAATGAAATTAACACCCTTGTTTGTTTGTTTTCCCATTCAGATTGTCCCACATGTCGTCAGCTTGGTTCACTCCTTCAAAAGAGATGGCTTACCTTCCAGTACAGCCTTTTTGATGCAGTTGACTGAGTTGATACACTGTATGATGTATCATTATTCAGGATTTCCAGAACTCTATGAACCCATATTGGAAGCTATTAAGGTATATTTGTTTTGTTTTCCCAAATATGAAAGCAGTAATCCCAGAGTTATAAATTCTTTAGCAATTTCACTAAAAGAGAAGAGCTAACTACATAATTTAGTGTGAATTCTAACTGTTTGGAATATGCTAGAGAAATTGTCCTGAGTGTCCATGATATGATTATAGCAGGCTTTAAGAAAAGCCTGAAATGAGATCCTTTATTAAAAATACAATCTAACTTCTTAAGCCTCCTGTAATTCTTAATGTGCTTTTGAGGTTTATTCTAGGCATTTCATTTCAACCCAAGCTAGAAACTGTAATGTGTGTTCATAGTACTAATAATGTTGAAATAGGTTCTGAGGACTACTTGGCGTGGTGTTAATCTTTGGCTAGCTCCAGAACACCATTATTAAGCATTACATATTAATATTGCAGTCAGCATTGCATGCCTCTTTGAGTCAAGGATGCTGACCTATGTTGTTTCAAAACAAAATTTGGCTTTTTTTGGATAAATACCTAAAAGCATATACTTCAAATAAAAAATAAATGTTAAAAAACCTCAAAACAACACCCCAAACCAGGTAACGTAGAACAAAAATACAATCCCAAAAAAACCCCCACAAAAACCCACTCGGGTATTACTGCCTGATTTTATAGTAGTAGTATTGCAGTTAAATGGTTTGACTCTTAAAAAGCCTGTAATGATTTAATTCTGGGTACTGTGGACTTTATCCTTTCATTCTTAAATTTTGAGTTGACAGAGCATGAACATATTTGTAGCAGAATAGAGGATGCTTCGGGGCCTATTAAAGCTTGAAATTTGAGAGGTAGCCTTTGGTGTTAAAAGGACTCTGTGAATATACAGGTCAAAGGTGACCACCAGCTCCTTATTCCTGCAATTTGAGAGTCAAATAAAGAAGGCTTTGAAGAAGAGGGCTTGGGAGGGGTGTTGTATCTTCTGGGCTATTAGGGGTAGCAAGACCCTGAAGGAGAATACAGGAGCAAGTGAAGATATCGGGCTGCTGAGCGGTGAGATCTATTATAAAAACAAATATAAAAACCTAATAAGTGTGTTAAATGCTTCTCTTGTAGGATATGCCCAAACCCACTGAAGAGAAGATTAAGCTGATTCTCAGTCAGAGTGCCTGGACTTCTCAATCCAGTTCTCTGCCATCTTGTTTATCTAGACTTTCTGGAAAATCTGAAACTGGGAAGACAGGTCTAATTAATCTAGGAAATACTTGCTACATGAACAGTGTTATTCAGGCACTTTTTATGGCTACAGAGTAAGTTCTTTTCAACAGCTCTTTTCATTGCAAATTAACTTTTATAATCTGGAAGCTACTGGGAAAAAAATTGTCTCTCTATAACATTATTACACATTTAATGTTTAAAGAAATGAGATTTCTTGCAGTGTACAGTACTGTACAATTGTTTTGCATCAGTATTAGAGCAGAATCCAGGTATTGAATAGAAGTGTTATGTGTTTTGCTTTCTTTCAAAATGAGTAATTATCTGAGCTGGAATAATGGCTGCATTGTTGTTAGAAATATAGCAAGGAAACTAATATTTATATATCTTTTTTCCAGTTTCAGAAGACATGTTTTATCTCTGAATCTAAATGGGTGTAATTCACTAATGAGAAAATTACAGCATCTTTTTGCATTTTTGGCCCATACCCAGGTATGTCAGTATATGGCATCTGCTGTTTTTTAAGCCTAGATCTAAATACCAGAATTTAGGAACCAACATGATGCCATGGGTGTCCTCTTGAGCATAGTAAAAATACAATACATTCCTAAGGGAATGAATCTGCCTACAAACACACAGATGATGTGGGTGGACTTAAGGAAATCTGTGTTTCCAAAGTGGAACATCTTGGTATTGTGTTGGTTTTGTAAATGGGCAATAACAGATTTTCTTTGAGAAGCCAAAATGAAAAAATCCCAGTAAGACCTGACTTGTTATACAAGTTGACTAAATAGAACTTTCTAGGACAAAGGGTGACTTTCTGCAATGATTTTTTACAGTAAATTTTATTGTAGTTAAAATTCTAAACTGGACTTTATTAGTGTTCACAATACTTTGCTAGTGCTAGAAGGATGTAAGACACTTTTGTTCTCCTTGATTAATAACAATAAGCCTATTGTGAAGGGGATGAGGCTGGATCACCTTAAAAATAAAATGGTACTTATTATATACTGGTGTTCTTCTGAAGAAAGAAAACTTTTTTTTAAGCTTGCCAATTAGAACAGTAACTGCTCTTATGCATAACATCTGGTTTACACTCACTACATGTTTCATATTTGCCTGTAGGATCCACTAATTTTATCTGTGCACTAGCGGTGATTACTACAAAATTGTCTCTCTTCCTAGGATTAAGTGGTTTAAGTATTTGTATACCATATGTTTCTTACAGTTTCTCTAGAATAATGTAGTCCAAAGTTCAGTGGTTAATATAAAAAAAAAAAAAGTAGTTGTATGTAACCTTGTCTTTCCCTGTCTCATGTGAACAGAGGGAGGCATACGCTCCTAGAATTTTCTTTGAGGCTTCCAGACCACCATGGTTCACCCCTCGATCCCAGCAGGATTGCTCAGAATATCTCAGATTCCTGCTAGACAGGTACAGTTGTTATTCATCATTCATCAATGGGAATGAATCTACAGTCTTATCACATAATTTTGAACTCGTAGGAGCGGTCATGTAACAGTTCCACTGCATGATTGGGGACCAGGAATTTTGGGTCTCATTCCTGGTTGTGTCTGGTCTACAAAACATTTCTCTTCATGGGTTTAATCTGCATTAAAATCTGTATACCACCTTGTATCCACATCATTTAAAGAAGGTTATAGGGGTAGTAATGTTCTGTTTTTACACATCTAAACTTGGGTGTTAAAGTCACGGTCCTGTTGTAAATTAACGTGGTTGTTGAAAGCAGTTTAGTTGTGCATCTGGACCTTGATGTTGGTGGAGACAACTATATTTTACATACAGGTCAGATAAGTCATGTAGAGATTTACATGTGTTTATAACCAGTTTAATAAACCAGCAAATTGTCTGTAGCACAGATAAAATTACCTAAATTTATTAGTAGCCCTCTTTAATTTTGCTTGCTGAGATGTGGTTTAAACAATATTGCTTTATGACACGTTGCACTTCAGGAGAAGTTTATCTCAATAGT